CCCCCCCCCCCCCAACAAAAAAAAATACAGGAATTTTTACTATTAAAAGCCTTTGAAAAGTTACACAGATTTATTTCTGGGATTCTTTTCATTCCAGAGACTTAAGAGTCAAATGCATAGCTTAATGTAAACAAGTGGTTACTATTTTAATGAGTTACCAAGTTAGACACAGTCCAGAGGGGAGAGATGACCTTACTGTAGTCTGAATCTGAGAGCAGAATTCCAGATTCCACTAAGATACATTTGTGGGACATGGCTTTTGCCTCTCTCTTTATGCACTGCATACCTGTGCCAAATGACTCGGAGTAGTTCATGTGAAGTATCTGGGGCTATGTGGTGCTTTCCTTTAGTAGATTCTGGTATTCTGTCTTGCAGGCACGTTTAAGTCTAAATGACCTCAAGATAAGTGCGGGGGATCTTGCTAGAAAGTTTTTAAAAATGTATTTCCTGATCAGCTTCGCATCCACTTGGTTCTGTGGCAGTTTGCAGCCTAAATGATGTCGAAGACACCCTCACTCTTCATAAACTCCATTACAGTTGCTTCCTCGTTGTGTGTGGGGGAAGGGTAGAGCATTCATTTTCTGGGAGAAAACCTGGATGTAACCAAATCAGATGTGTTGGGCATAGTACATGGTTATTGCATGTTTTCATTTGGGACGCACCTTAATCATCACTCTTCTCGAATTAAAGTACTGGATTTTTTTGGTGAAAAACGAAAAGGTGAACAGCTAGTGGTGGGGGGTAGACACAGAAAAGGATTGATTCCATATTTTTGTGGCCTCAGAAATGGAACCATTGCCACTTTTTATTTTAATTTTTTAGCTCTAAAATGAGTGGACCTATTTTTAATCTTTTAGTAGCTTCCTATTTTGATGACTGGTGGGCAGACTAGGACTCAGGCCAGAGAAGTTGTATAAAAAACTAAAGTTTGCAGTGGAGGAAGCAACCTAATTTCATTCCACCTTTGGTTAGGGCCAGGATCCGTATTGACCCAAATAGGTGCAGATATATTAGGCAGGTTGTATGCTATTTTCCCCATTCATTCTCTCTTTCCCTTGTAGGGCATGTTCCTTGAAAATACCCTTGAGCTGCAGGCAAGGAAGGTTCCCTTGAAGTGGGATGAAGTGACCTAAGCATTTTGAAAAATATGCTGGGGGAAAAAAATCTGCTCTTCAATAAAGGTCACATCACCAGTGGTACAGCACACTGTTGATTAGTGAGCCAGTATTCTTCCTTGTGTATGGTCCTTCAGAAGAAAGATCTGCCAACAGAATCCAAGGATTTGGGAATCCATGTAATACCTACCTTAATAAAATTCAGCATCAGTGGGTTGTTTTTTTTAATAGCAGGTACCCA